ACGGATCTCAGATCTCAGGCTGCCTGGCGGACATCTCGGCATGGATGAAAGAACATCACCTACAGCTCAAAAGACTGAGCTAGGGGATCAGGCTATCCCTGAGAGTAACGAAGCATGCTGCACAACTTCTTGTCCAGGCCCTTGTCATTTCTAGGCTGGACTACTGCAATGCTCTTCTGGCTGGACTTCCATCAAGCACAATCAAACCTCTACAAAAATTCAGTGCAGCAGCACGACTGGTCTTCAACGAGCCCAAAAGAGCCCATGTCAACCCTCTCTTTATCTCCTTGCACTGGCTACCGGTTGCGGCTCGAATCAAGTTCAAGACATTGATGCTTGCATATAGAACAGCCACAGGCTCAACACCCGCCTACTTCCACTCACTACTACGAATCTACATCCCCTCCAGAAGTCCGAGATCTGCTAGTGAGCGACGCCTCGTGGTACCATCACAGAGAGGCTCAAAATCACTTACATCCCCTCCAGAAGTCTGAGATCCGCTAGTGAGCGATGCCTCGTGGTACCATCACAGAGAGGCTCAAAATCACTTTCCAGAACATTCTCGTTCACCATTCCTGGCTGGTGAAATGATCTTCCCACCCCTATCCGGAATGCTCAATCCCTGACAATTTTCAAGCGAAAGCTGAAAACTTATCTCTTTCGACGCTACTTGACTTCATCCTAAATTTAAAATTAAAAAAAAAAAAAACATCGTCTTTCTCTTTATTTATTCTATCCCTTTCTAGCTTGTACTTATTTGAACAAATGCCTGAAACTTGGTATTGCGAGCACTTCCTGTGTCTGTTTGCCTCATTAAGAAGAATCGCTTTATGTATTCCCCAACTGTAAGTCGCTTTGGACAAAAGATTCGTCTGCGAAAAGATTAAATGTAAATGTTAACATTTGTTGTGGAAATAAGTTTTTTCAAAATTCTTTAATGAATAAAGTTCAACAGAAAAGCAGTTGAAACATTTATTTGAAATCTTTTGTAATATTATAAACGTCTTTACTTTTGATCCATTTAATGCATTCTTGCTGAATAAAACTATTAAGTTCTTTAAAAAACAACAAAAAAAACTAGCTCTTTGAACGGTAGTTTAAATTTATGTGCAGTCTTTGAGAATTTAATTAGAATTCAAACTCACTTGTTGGGCAGCAGAAAGCTGCTAGGGAAGCGGTACCACTCTTTCCCCACACAAATATTGACCAATCTTCCCTCTGGAACCGTGTGGATTGTAGGATCTTTAGCAATGCGATGAAATTCTGGATACAAATCCAGTGGAGCATGATAGCCTTAAAACACACAGCAACCCCATGTGAGAGACATCACAAAAGCAGTACTTTACTGCACAAGGTAAAGAATATGATTTTTATCATTCTGTTTTATCATCAACTTCATCTGCCAGCTAGATAACTCTACTGTGAGGGCAAATTTCAGCAGAACTGGCCAAAATCTCTTGGTCCCGCTCTCTCAACATCCTTACCTCTGAAGAGGGCCACAGATCGGGACAGCGAGAGCACTCCAAACAGCAGCACAGAGCCGAGAGCCAGCCAGTTGGATGAGATGGTGTAGTGCTCCAGATGGTAGCGCTGGAATATGAAGTGATAGCATTTCTACATGGATAAACAGACAGAAAACAGTTTAAAATGGGAAATGATTTGAAGTATCACATTCATATTTTACACAGGTTTAACAGCAAACTAATTTGCACAACATTGAGGAAATATGCCAATAAAGATGTGCAGTTGTCCATAGTTTTTGGACATATACTAATGTTTTGTTTTGAAAAGTTTCAGTTACACTACCATTCAAAAGTTTGAAATCAGTACGATTTTATTTTAAATACATGACTACTTTTATTCAGCAAGGATGCATTAAATTGATCAAAAGCGACAGTAAAGACATTTGTTACAATTCCTATTGATACCAATTTTATTTCAATGTTTAATTTTTTTTTTTTTTTCAAATAAATGTTCTTTTGAATTCTTAAAAAAAAAAAAAAACGTGCATCACTCTCCACAAATATTTTAAACAGCACAACTGTTTTAAACACTGATAATTAGAACTGTTTTGTTGAGCACCAAATCAGCATATTACAATGATTTCTAAACACTGACACTGAAGACTGGAGTAATGACTGCTGATCCAGCTTTGCCATCACAGGAATAAATTACATTTTATTCATTTTAAAAAAGAAATAATATAAATAATAAAATTTCACAAAATGACTGTTTTTACTGTATGTTTGTTTAAATAAATGCAGCCTTGGTGAACATAAGAGAATTCTTTCAAAAACAAAACAAAAAAAAAAATCTTACAGACAACGAAATTTTGAACGGCAGAGTAAAGAAATATCATGGTAAATGGATATGCTAATCATTCAGTACCACTGTATCACAATCAGCAAAAAATTCAGTCTACTGTTTCTAACCTGCAGTGATGATAGAGCCACTGCCCCGCACAGACAGATGAGAGGGTAGATGGGAAACAGAAAGCGCTCCTCTTTATGCGGACGAGTGAAGAACACCAGCATCCACAGGTACATAGGTGACAGGGTTAACCAGTATGGCCGGCCGAGGTTCTGAACTGCAATTTATACAGATTAACAGACTGTTCAGAACGTTACATGCATATCACAAAACAAGTCAAAGATAAATCCTTCTTACCATTGAATCTTTGGAGCAGTGCCTCCATAAGTGCCGTGAGAGGAAGAGAAAAGAGGGCCAACACAAATACAATGTTGAAATTAAGGAAACCATTCACAAAGTAGTAATGCCAGGGCTCTGTGCCTTTAAGAAAGAAAAAAACATTGTAATGAAAAAGTACTTTCCTGTAAACAATTTTAGTTTATTTTTAATATGAGTCAATATTCTTTTCTAAATGTATATACAAATGATTTGAAGTTTACCATAAAGATCGGGCCCATGAGGAGTGAACATGTTGTATAGTATTATATTCAGAGGAGCAATCACCAGCTTTCCATAGTAGTAGCTGTCTACTACAACAACAGGGACCTACAGAAACATGTAACGATAAGTGTTATCATATCAGTATAATACACCGAACTTGGATATTTTTTAATTTTAAAATTCCATTTTGTTATTGATGGAATCTCAGGGTCTCAAGTCAGATAAAAAAGACACAAAAACAATTCCGTATCCACAGAAATCAATGAGTTTCCCAACCAGAAAGAGGAGCAACGCCACCAGAGTCCACGTGATAAAACTCTTCCACTTCTTCTTCAGAAACAGCAGGTCAAAGGCAATGGGTATGCTGCAACAACAATCAGTAAAAAAAGCCTAAATTCACATAGTTGGCTGATCAGGATTATTTCTATGGCTTTTCACCAAATCCGAGTAAATATTGACTTTGTTGAGTAAATGAAACATAGTAACTAGCCATATTCATTTATAAAGGAACTACAGTATAATAAACTACAAGACCTACAGTCTTACAACCACTTTTTTATTATTATTTTTGGAGGCTTTTTGCTTTTTATTGGAGGGAAGTATAGAGTAGACTGGATAGCAGTGGTGGGAAAGAAGAAGTGGGATGAGGACATGACCCTGGTCGCAGTCAAACCTGGATCATCTACCTGCTGCTGAACATGTAAATATTCACAATTCTGATCAGTGGAAAAAGACCCATGTTTGAATAGGTAACTGATTAAGTCCTATCATAAAACTGCAGACTTAAAAGTTACATTAGGTGAAACGGTAAAAGGAAGCATCTAGCAAAAGTTTTTTTTTTTTTTTAAAGTCTTATGCTCACCAAGGCTGCAATTATTTAATCAGTACATACAGTAATATTGTGAAATATTATTATAATTTAAAATATGGTTTCTATTTTAATATATTTTTTAAACGTCATTTATTCCTGTGATGCAAGGCTGAATTACTCCAGTCTTCAGTGTCACATGATCCTTCAGAAATCATCCTAATGATTTGATACCCAAGTAACATTGTTAATTATTATAGTGCTGCTTAATATTTTTGTGGAAAAATTTTTTTCAGGATTCTTGGATGAAGAAACAAAAAGAAGTGTCAGAAGAACAACACTTATTTTAAACAGCATTTTTTGTAACAATGTAAATGTCTTTACTGCCACTTCTGATCAATGTAATGCTAAGTAAATGCATTCTACATGAAAGTAATAGTTTCTTTTTAAAAATCTTACCGACCCCAAACTTTCAAATGGTAGTGTGTACTGTAAGTATCAATTTATGTTAAAATATTATTATTTTTAAATATTTATTTTAAAATGTTGACTCAGATTTATCAACCAGTCGTGAGCAAATAAAATGCATGTCTGGGAGAAATGTTGGATTAAATGGATTAAACCCCCAAAAACAAAAATGTTAGGGTAAAAAAAAAAAAAAAAGAATTCTTAAAATACGAATCAACCAAATACTTATTCTCATAAGGATAAAAATATGCATTTTAATATAAATACAGCAATACAAGTTCATGTCAGATGAGCAATATTTATGGGAGGACATGATTTATTTGTGGTAGAAAATATTTTGGACCCTTCTTGTCACTCTACATATAAAATATTGATTATTTCTTACCCCAGCAGGGCACTGAAGGGCCAGCCCACTATGGCCCCCGCTGCAATACCCAGCACAGCCAGACTTGGGCGCCCCTGGAACCAGCCAGTCATAGCTACCACTGTACTGTACATACAAAACGCACTGGGGAGGAAAGCTGCACATAGCAAACACATTAACCTGCAGTGCATTCACAAAATTATGTCAAAAAAGAAAACGGGAAAACAAACAGTTGTCATCTAATTTCCTCTGATCAACCAGATAAGTCAAATATGAGCCACTGATCTGACTCACCTGCAGAGGAGCAGAACATCCCTGCACTCAAGACTAGGAATGCCAGCAGAAGCCGGCCCACATGCAGGCCAAACTTTTTACACACAGCCCTGTGTCAATAAACCACATTCGTTGTAAGAGTCACCTATTTTAGCCCAATGCTGATGTAAGGTGCAATACATAGTAGCACTTACTTGTAGAAGTAGAGCTCACACACACAGCAGGTAAAAGCTAGCATGCAGCGCAGGAAATAAAACACAAGGACCTGAATGGGAACAAAAGAATCCAAAAAACATATTAGTCAATTTGTACATGTCTAAGCAGGACTATAATGAATGGCCTATATACAGTACATCTAAAAGGAACATTCATCTTATTTTGTTCAGCATGGCACATACAGCAGCACCAGTTCCCATGGAATGCACGAATTGACAATATATACTTTGAATACAACGTCACTTTGCATAACAGGGTGTGCCAGATCTAAATTTAACGAAAACTCAATATTATAGCAGAGAGCCATTTAAAATGACATTTTAGAAGTCCTGGATAAAGTTGTGATTAAGCAAAAGCAAAATTGTACCCAAAGAAACATAGTTTTCATCATTGTGAAATATAACGCATTATTACATCATGTTGTGTTTGTGGATCCACAGCTTTTATCCAGCTCCAAGGGTCAGATTTTTCAGATTCCAGTGAGGATAAGTATCAACCTCACTGGTCATAAAAATATCCTACTATATTGAAAATGCTTAAAAAAAAAAAAAAAAACACAGAATCAAAATTGCTAAACAATCAGTTTGAGGTTGGTGACTAGTTTACCTTGTTGGTTTGTAATATTTTGGCATGAAAGCAGGCAGGAAGGGCATGGAGCCAAAGATACGCATAGGACCGAATCGCATAGGCCGGGGAATATTCCCATGTCTGCATTCCTGTTCCATACAGCAGGTAGTGAGTCTGGCCAGCAAAAAGAGAGAAATAAAAAAAAATGATGAATGAACCTTTCTTTTATATACAAATTCGGTAGTTTTCAAAAGAAGATTGACATTCAGCAAAATGGCCCATTCATAAGGTTTTTACTTTGATGGTGTGTTTATGTTCAGGAATACACATGATGACTTTCTATTGAATACAAAAGCAAGCTTTTGCATCTGAACTGCACCTTTACAGTCTCTAGTGGTTTGGATTATTAATACCCCAGGGCATTATGGGATACAACAGTGACATAGATCAGGGCTCAACAATGAGGATTTGCTTTCTGCTGTTCCAGTTAGACCAGTAGTTCAGCTTTTCACTTGCCCTGCAAATTCATTTGTTACACCATAAACATAATACATTTTTATAGACATATTATTCAATTCTAAATAAATCTATTATAATTGTTATAATATGTTATAGTATACATAACATAACATATACAATATTACGTTACAGTATAAAATGTTAAAAACTATAAATAAAAATATATAATTATAAACAACATATATTATATAAGACAAAAAATGTTTTGTACCACTGTTATAAATTTAAAAAAAAAAATGAATTAAAAACTATTATAAATTTATGTTCACTTGTCCCACCATAAAATATTACATTTCTATATAATAAAAACATATGATTATATTAAAAATAATTATATTATAATTGCTAGAAGTTATACTATACATATATAATGTAATACATAATGAGTTAAGCATAATAAATAATAAATGATTTGCACCATTATGTCATAGTTGTTGAATAAAAAGCTGTCATGGTGTTACAAGCTATAGGTTCCAGCAATAATTTAATTGCAAAAAAAATTATGTTATTAATAATTATTATTAATAATGACATGTCCATGTACATAGACATTAATTGTACTATTATTAAAAACTAATTAATAATTAATATTAATATTAATATTAATAATACCTTTTACCCAGCTGTAACTGCAAATTTTAAAAAGTATTTTGTGTACATATTAAGGCTGCCCCCTAATAGTCGACTAATCGTTAGTTGACCAGAAGAGGCTAAGGCTTGGTCGACCAAAATTGTATTAGTCGCAGAAAAAATTTAAATAACAAAAAATCCACAGGTAAAGTCACGCAGTTCGCGACGGACAGATCGTTAACAGCTAACGTTAGTCTGTGGTAATACAGTACATCAGTCAGGACATCCAAACGCTCGCCTATCATTCATCAACCTCAAATATGGCTTATCATCTGAAATATGTAAGTATTAGAAACTTTACATGGCTGCTCAATCTAATGTTAACCTAGAGAAATTAGGGCTATAGTGTCAGGGCTCTAGAGTGCGACCAATTTGGTCGCGCATGCGACCTAATTTCTCAATGGTGCGACTAAAAAAAATCTGAGGTCTCACCGGTGCGACCAGCCGTTCGAGGAAAAAAAAAAAGTCTCCGCGACTATGAAAGTCTCCCTGTGGTTCAACAACAGACACACATTAGGCCCATATCGTGGTCTAAACCAATCAGAGATAGTGAAGGGTGGACCCCCCCTCTGATTGGCCGTGGTCCAGATATTCCTGTACGTGTGTACGTTAGAAAATGCGTGTGCTGCAATCACAGACAGAGAGAGGTGAGTAGCCTAGGCCCGTCAGATAAACAGAGTGGATGTAGCCGCGGATGATGAGAGAAGATGAAAAGAACGATTGACAACTTTTTCGTTAAGAATGTTAAGTTAAGGCCTGATCCGTCCGAAAATCATAACCAATACTCTGACACGGAGCCATCAACCTCCCAGGTTATGTCAAGCCCTGGTCCAGAGACGGCATTAGATAATGAGGACATTTAAGAGGGTTTATTCTCCAAATAACTCTAATTTCATGTTGCAGAAAAAATGTGTTTAAAAATTGTGTATGGTCTCTTGTTCTTGTTCCAAGTTACCTTCCTGTCCACTGATTTTTGCCTCTCACAAAAGCCACAAAGCCTTCCAAGAAGACAGTAAAGGCTTATGTTATGCTTGAGCTTTAGTTAGGCTGAAACTTGAAAGTTAAGTTGCACAACATAAATGCAATGTTTAGGTATTATTATTATTTTTATTACTATTATTTAGATTTATGCCTTAGTTTTAGTTTGTACTGTTTACCTTTTTTAAAGTAATGTGAAATTGATTTTTGTTTTTTATTTATTTTTTTATTTGTATTTGCATTTTGAATGCAATTTGGCAATTAAATGCATTAAATGGGTTTAGTTTTCACGGTTATTAATGTATGCAATTTCAGCAATAAAAATGTGAATTTTTCTAAAAAGAAAACAAATTAGTTGTTTATTTTAAGAGATCTATCTTATTATCTCTTGTATATTTAGTATTGCTCTTTAATAATGAAAAATTACTTCTTATCCGATTACTCGATGGAATAATCTGTAGAATACTCGATTACTAAAATAATCGATAGCTACACCCCTACTAACTATTCTATTACAAGTCATTCTATCACAATTTCAGCAAATCTTTGTTAGCCGATTCAATAACATGACATCAGAAATTGTCAAATCAGAAACTGCAACAACAATAATGAATGAATCACATAAGATCAAATTCATGCTAAGTGTGCAAAGAAGCATAACAACATGTAAGAGTAAAGTGAGAATGCAGTGCTAGGCCAATAGGACAAGTGACAGTTCCATCAGCCAGTCCAAAACCATCCTTATTGGTGTATTCCGAGAGCTTACCAAAAAACTGTAAACCAGGAAAATGTGTAACTCACTGGCTCCCAGTAATTGTAGGTTTCATCACAGTCCGAGATGTTACTGAGTAGCGCAGCACAGAAGCGGGCTGAAACCAGGCACTTGAAGGCCGTGGAGCCCTCAGGAGCCCACACCTGTCCTGCCTTACTGGATGACCTGTAAAGGAGAGGCGGGGGATAGGAGCTAATGTGCTTATCTGGGAGCAAACTAATAAGCAATATGGGAACAGAGCACAGGGTTATACAAGGTTGTCATTCATTTATTTCAGTATTAAAATAGTATCAGTCTAAAACTCATCCACAAGCATAACCAATACAGATGTGCATGAGACATTCCAGATTTTCACACCGAACAAAACACAACAACGTTGATCGAGGGTCATTTTATTCCTCATGCGCTGTATTACAATGTAAGAAGATTATGAAATTGGACATGCGCGAATGTGCACCTGACACACACAGCATCAAATATACGTATATGCAATAAAAACTGTGCCACTATCTAGTGTCACTAAAGCAATGCAGCTTATGAACCACAAACGGCATATATTTTAAAAGAACAGTCATGATATAAAGCATGTTTTACAGCGCTGATCAGTGTTTGCACGCCGTAAGAGCTGCGATGTGAGTGAACAAATTAATGAATGAAAGCCGTCATGTTACACTGAAGCGAGCTTATTCGTGTCGCTTGGACAGTACATTTTACTATTTCAGTCTCTCCCCGCTGTATTCGTGTTATTTAGATAGTCTATTGGCATTACATGTGTTTACTCTCTGTATTATTGGCATATCCAGACAGCCTGATGTTAGCGAGCTAGCGAGCTGTCAACAGTACAACATTACACCGCGCGGGAGCTGGACTGGCTAATGGGTACTTACTCGTTTCGGGGGTCACTGGACTTATTGTCCTCAACATATTTGTCGTCTTTTGCTGCACGGTTGTCAGCGGTAGGTGTGCTGTTCACGTTGTTCGCGTCTTGTTTGCTTCCCCGTCTGTTGCGCTGACGGAGACCCTTCGTCGCCATGTTTCTACTGGCTGCGCGTGACGTCATCACCAGAGGAACGCAGGACAGGGGCCTGTTTCATAAAACAAGTTCACTAAATAAGCCAGGCTTATTTCAGTTAGTCTGACTTATTTTGATTAAGACTGTGTCTTAAGAACTAGTTTGACCAACTAGTTGTTAGCCAAGAGGTAATCAGACTTACCTTTTGGATTCAAATGAGACCATTCTCCCTTTTTATAACTGACTTTAAGAAATTATGACCAGTCTTAAAGAGAAAAAATTAGATGACTAACTTTTTAAGTCTAGTCTAAGTGGTTTATGCAACCAGCCCCTGCTGACAATAAATCAGACTAACTGAAATAAGCCTGGCTTACTTGGTAAACTTGTTTTATGAAACAGGCCCCTGGTTCAAGGAGAGCCATTAGTGAGAGGATGGCAGGAACTAGCCTGTGTTGTTTTAGTATAATTGACAAATTAATGTTGTGTTGTTGTTTTGCTATTTTAATTATTTTTTTTTTTTTTTGTATATTCTGTTTTCATTTGAATTTTACAGTTTGAGTCATTTTATTTAATTTGTTTTTGTTTTTTTTATATATGTCTATATAGTTTTTATTATTAATTTCTTTTTCAGTTTTAGTTATTTCAGTACATCAAGTTGAACTAAATGAAAATGAGAAATGCTTTTTTTGGCAATTTTATTTAAAGCAACGATTTTTTTTGTAACTATAATAACCCTGCTGCTAACGATTGTCCGAAGTGTTTTAACAAACATTTCATAACACAATTTTCTCATCTTTTCTCATTCAGAACATTTTGCACATATTTAAGCCAAATGAACTAATCTTGTTACTGGTTTATGTAAGTATTGTTATATAATTATAATAATATTGTTATCAACCTTCTTACACCATTGTACTATGGTACAATCATGGTATGCTATCAGATGGCAATAACTGTTATTGCCATCTAATAGCATACCATGATTGTACCATAGTTACAATATGGTACATTGTACCATATTGAATAACATGGTACTGAATGATTAGAATATTCATATGCCATGATGAAACACTGTAAAGTAACCTGCATTTGTTAATTGAAAGACCTGATTTAACCTATAAAGATTAATTTGTATTGATTAGCTGGTATGTTTTTAGCTAAGTCATGTTAAATAAGTTGTGAACAAAACGAGTTAATTTAGAAATAATTACCATTTTTCACTGTCTTATCATATGTTTATGCTTGTTATTGTGGCTTTGTGTATTAGCAAATGGCCCTAAATTTAAAAGCTAGGCCTCATGTGGCATGATGACTTTAACATTTTCTTTACTCTTCAACATTTTTATTAGATTCTTTTGATTTAAGAATAAACACATTTTTCCTGCTTTATTTTGTTGTGAAAATGTAAAGATTTTACACTATAGTGTTCTTAGTACTCTCAAACAGGACCTTTTTTTTTTTCATAATAAACAGTTTTGTGCGGGTGCAATGATACATCAAGCCAAAAAAACAAAACAAAAAAACCTGCACACTTGCTAAATGCTCAAAAAATTATTTAATGACAGACCTTAGGATGTTACATTTGCATTTTTGGACTCTGCACCTTTCAAAATATTACTCTGGTGTGCATTTGTTTTTAGATATGTGCCATGATTAAAATGGTTCGTAAATGGAATTTACATATTTATATATGGAATTCAAACCAGTCTTTTCAGGTTCAAAAAGGACCAGGGATGAAATGTTTACCTCTTTGGGGCTTAATGAGCAGGTTATACCAGCAGTTTGAGCATCCCAACCAATACAACACTTTTTGACCAAACAATGGAAAACAGGTTAGTTTTAGGTAATCTGTGTGTGGCAATAGCCATTATTTTTGCAATTCCATTTGTTTGAAAAATTACACACTTCAGTATACAGCAATAACTTAAATAACATATAGCATATGTTATTTATGTTAACATACAGCATATATACATATAGCATAAATAACATATAGCAATATAACAATTTACAGTCACGATCATAAACATAATCATAGACATTCCAGAAATATCACAGTATCAAACGCAGATAATGTAAACACACATTATGTGCCATACAAAGAAAATAGAAAAATATTTGTTCATTTTTTAAAAATGTATCAGATGAAATGATTTGCAGTTGTGCATCGATAATTACATCTCTAATTTCTTAACTGAATACATCCCTAAACATGCATAATCAATTTCACATAGGAGAGAATGCAATTTATAATATTTTCATTTTTTTTTCTCATTGCAAAGTACTAAACAAGAAGGAAAGGTAACACAGTACTACTGAAATCTGTAAACATTTCTTGGATAACTTAATAAACCCACAATATTTATAATGTAAAATTTTGATTAATCAGCGTAACAAGCAATATGTAAACATGATAGGATTTCAAACGGCAACAAAAAATCCCTTTAGTTCAAATAAGTTGATATTTCAGAACAAATCAGTCAAAATAAACGCTCTTTTGATCTAGAAAGTTAACCTTCATCATTAAAAATTAAAATCTGAGATTATTTATCCATTTGATCCACTGTTGCCAAAGCCTCTTCAATCACCTCAGTGTGACCTGCAGACGCAGGGGTAACAGTCTCCGCAGCTGATTCTGCAGTCCCAATGCCTGGCTGTGTGAGAGGGCCTGATCCGGCAAGGTCAGCCTATAGCAGAGGCTTGCATGACCCATGTGTGGGTGTCTGAAGCGATCCACTAATGCCATATCCTTAACAGCACCGCAAGACGCCTCTCGCACAAGTGCATGGAAGTCCAGTTCATCATAGCTTTCTGGTTCCATCCAGAAACTGATATCATGCAAGTAGCTTGGTGGGTAAAGGGAGAAAGGACTGAAAGGTCCAAGTGGATTGAGCTCGAAATGCTTAAGAAACCGAGGATCGGCGCTCCAAAGTAAGCGCCAATCAGAAATGCCAAAAATCAGGGTAGCTAAATGATCCAAGTTTATTGAGACCGTGATTAACTGCAAACCTTCATCGAGGCCTGAGGAAAAGGAAGGCAGATACGCGATCCGCCCAAACTTGGAAAGCATCTTTGAATTCATCCACACTTGCTGCTCTAGGCCTGTTTGTGCCTCCTCGAAGGAGACACCGTAAGAAGCAAGTAGTGACTCCAAACAATCTTGGAAGCACTGGACAGGATGGGATACTGCAGGGAACATTCCCACCAACAGAAGCTGGTGAGATGCAGGAGAACGGCTCGGGGAGATGGGCACTCTCTGAAAGACCAAGCCACTGACTGCGTGAAGAGTACCAGGACTGAAGTCTCCATTCTGGGTGATCACTTGGACATGCAACAACAGAGACGGTTGAAGTGCATAGCTGCCAGTAAAGCTTTGCTGGTCATCCATAGACTCACAGTCATTTTGCTCATTTTCACTTTGGTCAAATATATAGGTGTCAGTAGGTTTAATCCAATAGACCTCTGAGTGGGTCAGAGTGGAGTCACATGCCTCTGGCGTTTCTGGTAGGCAGCTTACCGGTTCTGGGAAGTCTTCATTCATAGTGCACACAGGCCAGATTGACTTTAGCTCTCTAAGTAAATGCTCCTGGACAGTTTTCACTGGATGGTGTGCCTGCTGACCAAGGAAATCCCTACCACAGAAAGAAAGGTTTGAAATCTGCATCAAATATACTGTATAATGTACAAAAATTCCACTAAATTGATACATTTAAATACATGATGCATAAGCATACTGATAAATGTACCGTAGGTGAAAGCCCATCTTTTTTGTATAATACAAGACTGATAACAGATAAGACATAGCTTCACAATGCCACCATTCACAGAGAACAAGGGATCGAGGAAGTGTTTAATAATTAATAAATGCCATGATCATGCAGTTACCTCTAGTTTTTAAATGGTTGTTACTTTACTAAAAGAATAGTTTGTGCAAAACAGGATATTCTGTCAACATTTACTGACCCTCAAATGTATGAATTTTGTAAAAAAAAGTATCCAGGCCTGGTTTGAATGATAACCATTAAATGACAAACCGATAAATATAAAAATTCTATACCATTTTATCAAAATAAAATAAACCCTAAAACCTAAAATCAATTTTAATATGAGTTTTAAAGTTTAAAGTGAATTTAGGCATCACAACATTATAATGTATGTTAAATTGGTATGAAAAATTGGGATATTGATTTTAATAAATAGAAATTAGACAGAAAGATTACATTTAACAGCACTATTCAATTACTATTAAGATTAAATGAGCATTAGATGATGGCAAAAGTAATCAAAATGTTAAAAAAAAGGAAAATTAGCATGTGCAATTAAATCTTCTGCATAACAAAGACACCTAAATAAGAAATAAGAAAATCTCTAATATCGGTCAATTACAATATGGTACAGCTATTTCATACAACCCTAGCAAAGAGTAACATAAAATTAGTTCATATGACTTGTCTGCTAAGTCTTTTGGGACCATAATATAGCTTTATGTGAGGAACAGACCAAAGCATAAGTCATTATAATAGTCACATTATATGGCACCATTGACATTTGGTCTCAATACATGCAAAATCAATGGCGCTGACATCTTATTTTCATAGTCGATGCAACTTTTGTAGTCCACGAAGCTCGCCAAGTTATTATGTGCAGCACACAAGTTGCATTTAAACACTTCTATGATATGTTCATGGTGTTTTTTGCCATTTTGAAGCTTGAAAGATTCAGTCCCCATTCGATCTATGATATTAAAATCAATGGTCAGGAGGTCCTTAAAAAAATTTTTTTTTTTTCACAGATTCAAAACAACATAATGGTGATTAAATGTCACAGGTTTTCTTTTTGGGTAAAGTATTTCTTATGAAGAGACTTTAGAGCTGCTGTTTTCCAGTCAGCAACAAGTTACCACTTACCTGTTGATATAATTACTCAACTCTGCTGGAAGCTCAAAACAAACTGTCTCCTCCCAATGGTTTTCTCCATTTTCAGTTTCTCTGGCATGGTGTGGGGGAGACTCCGAGTGAAGATGTGGGTCAGAGCTCCCTCTACATGGAAACATTTGTCTTGACTCCTTCGCAAAATAATTTTTT